ATCAGCACCTCTGAGTGTAGCTGGGCTGCTTGTGTGGAGGATTTTACCATGACCAGTGTATTCAGATCCTCTGTGTCCTAAGGAAGGTATTTCAAAATTGCAATAAATTTTCCTGCACCTTTACTGTGTTCATTTATTAGTTCTAACTTTTTTTGGTGGAGTCTTAGTCAATAACATTTAATAATTTTGCACAATGATAGATGGTTACTAGACTTAGTGGAGTGATCACCTCATAAGGTATATACCAATGTCAAATCACTATATTATACACCTGAAACTAATATAATGTTGTATGTCAACTATACTGTAATAAAACACATTTTTTTTTAAAAAAATAGCAAAATTGAAATGAAGTTGCATAGATAGTTCTGCTTATCGATTCAAATTCTTCCTTTTTCAAAGTCAGCTCCAGGATAAATTCTCCTTGACAGTTTTTATAGATCACTTCTTTGTCTAAAAGTATACACAGAGAATTCCCAAGGCCAGAGCTAGAATGTTGGGGAAGTGCCCTCTTGGACCTAGGGCAAGTCTGCAGCTTCAGGGTTATTGATAAACCTGGCAGAAGGCAGTGTACAAAACCTCTGGCTTCTTGAGAAATCTGGTGTGCAGGCTATTCTCAGGAAGTAGGAGGGAGTTGTCGAAAGCTGTCAAATGCATAAGGAGGATGCCTCATCACTCCAGGGGTCAATATATCTGCTGCTAGGACAGTGAAATTTTGACTTCATTTTCTAGGAGCCTGAATTGTGAGCTGCTCACAATTTCACTCAATCCAAGTCAACTTTATCCTCTCCAAGTCCCACATTAAATATATTGATACTTCTATTCTTAATCAGTTCATATGTTTGTTTAACTGATGGTTGCTCTAGTCATTCATTCATTCTCTTACTCTCTTGTCCAATCAACAAGTGTGTTTTGAAATTATGTCTATGCTGGGCATGTAGTTTCCATGAGTATGAATGGATACTTCAGGCAAAAGCATTTTAATGAAGTTTGTACTGAGGCTTCTAGTTCTCAAATATTTTAATATCTTTTTATAACCAGAGGTCTCATGATAAGGAAAAGTTGCTGGGAATGAGAGCTCTGGAATCTTATATAATAAAGAGGTAATATGCAAATTGACTATCACTCCAACACACAAGATGGCCGCCCCCATGTGGACACAAGATTGTCACCACAAGATGGCTGACAGGGGAGGGCAGTTGGTGGGGACCAGGCCTGCAGGGAGGACAGTTAGGCATTGATCAGGCTGGCAGGCAGAAGCGGTTAGGGGCAATCAGGCAGGCAGGCAGGCGAACGGTTGGGAGCCAGTAGTCCTGGATTGTGAGAGGGATGTCCGACTGCCTGTTTAGGCCCGATCCCCTTGAGGGGTCCCAGATTGGAGAGGGTGCAAGCTGGGTGAGGGACACCCCTCCATGCACAAATTTCATGCACTGGGCCTCTAGTAATGTAATATTTAGATACATGAGCAGGACCCAGAACCTCTCATTATTATCCATAAATAACTTAGTTTCTTGTCTTTCCTGGGAGAAAATTAAGAGGATGACTGGGGATAATAAAGAGCAGCAAGCTTATGTCACCATTATAGTAGGAAGAGTGATCTGGAGTATCCTGCACTGACCATGTGGTTTTGCAATAGCAGCATGACAGCAAAACAGAGAAATTGGTACCTTATGTAGACTTGTCACTGAGTACCCAGTCACAGAATGTCCATGTTACATGTTTCAGTGCTTATCAGTGCCGAAGCTTCCCCCTTTTTGCCGATTTTTTAAATACCTGAGATGTTTAACTGACCTCAGTGCAGTTTTGGGAGATTGCAGAAGGTGGTGGGTTGGGGAATGGCTTGACTCTCACAAGACTCAGCCACATGGCTCAGCAGTACATTGCCTTTACTTTTGAGAACTTGCAGAAAGAAGTTCTGGGCCTCTGCAGAACTTGTCCAGAATGAAAGCATTTTATTGATTGTTTCATGGCGATCTTTTTATTGTTAAAAGTATCTATGTTGTAAAGCCTCTTTGTGTAATATAGTTGTGAAATGATCTCATGTAAATTTATTTTTCTTACTTTCAAAAACAGGTACAGCAAACTTGGTAGTTTCTTAGTATCTCAATTGTTCAGTGAGTGAGTTTCTGTCTTAGTCTGTTCAGGCTGCTATAACCGATAGACTGGGTGGCTTATAAACACAGATATTTATTTACCACAGTTTTGGAGGCTGGGTTGTGTGAGATCAAGGCACCAGCAAGTTAATTATCTGTTGAGAACCTGCTTCCTGGTTCATAGACAGCCATTCTTACTGTGTCTTTGAATTGACACAAATCCTATTAATAGTCAAATCACCCACCAAAAGCCCCACTTCCAAATGCCATCACATTAGGGGTTAGAATTTAGTCTATAGCAGGTTCTTGGTGAACTTACTTTGGTTGTGAGCATTAAATATATTAAATAATCAGCAAACATCCTGAGTTGACATGATCATATTAAGGGATTCTGTTAAACTTTAAGACTTACTGTTATGCGTGCGAAATTCTACTGTGGCCAATGATTTGTTTCAGAAGCACCCAGTGGAGATTGGGAATTCATGGACATGGGTTCTAGTGACTCTGACACTAATGAAATGACTTTGAGTAAGTCACTTCTCTTCTCTTCCCACTCTGTGCCCTGATCTGTAAAATTAAGGGTCACTTAGTTCTCTCCAAGTCTCTCACCAGCAGTAATATGATAAGGTTTTAAAAAGGTCATAGAAGACAGTCCATTATTTTGAGTCTTTCCCACACAGGTTGTTTAACAAATGGAAAGTTAGTTGAGAGACTAGCTTTCAAAATCCAGTACAAGGACCAGGGTTTAACACATTTGTTGACAAAGGGGGCACCTCTATGCTGCTGGTAATGTAAGGAATATTAGGCTTACCGAAAGTATATGAAACTTTGGAGGAATGTCTTTAACTGAAGTTATAAGACTCTGACCTGTAACTATAAAGTGCAGTTTCATGGATTTACTTATAATTGTCAGCTGATCCTGACTGCACAGACCCTTCAGATATACCTTTTACTGGGCATTCCACTCAGAACACCAAGTTCCAGACTAGTGAATGCTCCATGGAGAAGGGAGTTGAAATATTTGCATATATATGATCTCTTTTCCAGTAGAGTTTGTTCTGCTGAGATGCAAAATCTTAATCCTGAAGAATCACAACACCTTTTGGAGTTGTTTTCCAAGGCTGAGGCCCTGTCTGTCCACCTTGATTAGGCTCTTGAGTTTCTTTTGCTTCCTCAGCTGTTGATTCTTAAATGTTGTCTTAATGTGAGGGACAACGATGACTTCTTGATGAAAACCCTTTCCATTTTCCTAGTGGGTGCATTAATATTTATTTGCAAACACTTGTGTATCACACTTTCCCTACCACAACTACAGTTACCCTAAATGCTTACTATGTGCCAAGTTGTATGCTGAGTGCTTTTCATGAAGTATCTTATTTAGTCATCATATCAACCCTGTGCAGGTCTGTCCAATAGAAATTTCTGCAGTGATGGCAATGTTCTGTAATATCAGCACTATCCAACTCTGGTAGCCACTAGCACATGTAAATGTTGAGCACTTGAAGTATTTCTAGTGCAACCAAGAAGCCAATGTTTTAATTCGGATTGGTTGTGGTTACTTAAAATGTAAATAGCCTTTCTGGTCAGTAACTTCAGTATTGGATGACACAGTTATTAAGTATAAGTACTTTTATTATACTTATTTTACATGTAAAGAAGCTGTGGATCTAAAGAGGCAAATAATTTTCTCAAAAGTCACAGAAATAGTAAATGGCAGGGCTGAGATTTGATTCTGAAGCCAGTGTCCTTATCACTTCACTCTATGGCCACCACTTAGACTGTACCTGCTCTTGTTGTGTCCAAATTTATAAAGAAACACTTGCAATTAACCATATGCAGAAAGAAAGCTGATAAATATCCACCAATGGGCAACAGTCATTAAAACATCATGTCTCTCATCCCAAAATAGTATTATGGCTAATGAAATGAAAGAAAATGTCCGTGTATACGAAAATAGATAACACTGTACTGTGTAACTGAAATTTTATAAGTGAGTAGAACTTAAATGTTCTCCCCCCCCAAAAAATAAAAGAAGAGATAAGTATGTGATGGCTGTGTTAATTAACTAGGTAGGGTAATCCTTTCACAATGTATACATATATCAAATCATCATGATGTACACTTTAAATATCATACAATTTTGTTTGTCAGTTATACCTTAATAAAGCCAAAAAGATAAAAAATAAAATATATTTATTTGTTATATTTGTATTTATATACTTACTAGAGGCCTGGTGCACGAAATTCATGCGGGGGTGGGGGAGGGGGTGGTCCCTCAGCCCGGCCTGCACCCTCTCCAATCCGGGACCCCTCGGGGGATGTCCAACTGCCTGCGGGATCAGGCCTAAATTGGCAGTAGACATCCCTCTCGCAATCCAGGACTACTGGCTCCTAACCACTCACCTGCCTGCCTGCCTGATCACCCCTAACCACTCTGCCTACCTGCCTCATCGCCCTAACCGCCTCTGCCTGCCTGCCTGATCACCTCTAACCCCTCTGCCTGCCTGCCTGATCACCCCTAACCCCTCTTCCTGTCTGCCTGATTGCCCCTAACCCCTCTTCCTGTCTGCCTGATTGCCCCTAACCCTTCTGCCTGCCTGCCTGATTGCCCCTAACCACTTCTGCCTCGGCCTTGTCACCATGGCTTTGTCCTGAAGGATGTCCAGAAGATGTCTGTTTTATCAGGTCTAATTAGCATATTACCCTTTTATTAGTATAGATAGACATTGAATATGATCAACACAAAAGAATAAGGAAAGAAAAAGCTATTTAACTAATGGCTTGGGAAAACTGGTTAGCAAATAAATTAAACATAAGCTCCTAACCTGATATATTATACAAGAATAGATTTCAAGTAGCTATGATTTAAACATTAAAGAATACAGTTATTAAAAAATCAAATTACAGGAAGAAGCCAGCTGAAAAATCACTTGAGAAACCATCTGTTATATGGTAAGTTCTGAAGAAATCATGAAGGAAAAAAATTACAGATTTGACTTAAGAAATAAAGACTTATGAAAAATAAAAATATACTTAGAGTAAAAAGAAAACAGATTTTGGGAATTTTTGCAACAAATAAGACAGAAAAGGTTGGTAATTACATTATCCATAAGAAAAACATTTAAGATACCCAGGTAAGTTAATGGGAAAGAATGTGACTAGACAATTTACACAACAGGAGATACAAGTAGTGTATAAAACATATGAGGGATAGTTGAATGGGGTTTTTCAAAGAGGTACAAATTAAGTGATGAAAAAGACAGCATCTTATATCCTTTGAATTACTAAAACTTTAAGAAAATAATAATTCTTTGTGTTAGAGCAGCAATTTTCAATCTTTTTCATCTCATGGGACACATTAACTACTAAAATTCTGTGGCACACTAAAATATATATATTTTTGCCGATCTGACAAAAAATAGGTATAATTTTGATTGCTTTACAACAAAATAGTAGTAATTACCTGCTCTTTTTGCTTTACAGTGACTTTTAAAAAATCAGGTACTTATACTTGTATATAAAGATTTCTGGTACCAAGAATTAACCATTCAGATGCAACCATGTTATGTGATGTGACCAATAAGATACAAATCAATTATGTGACCTATATTTTTATGTTCAAGACGGGGCATTCACACTGGATGATTATCGTTTTGTTGGTTGTTGTCATTTTTAAAATTTGACAATGTAAGTGAAGAGAGGTCAGTGCCCCTGACTAAATAGTCATGTACTGCACATTTTAAAAATTCTTGTGGCATACCAACACATTGGTTGAAAATTGCTGTGTTAGGGTAAAGGTGGTAAAACTGGTGTATTCATGTTCGTTGTGGCAGTTGAAATTTCTCCAATTTAGAAAGTACATGTGATGAAGTAATCAAGAACCATAAAAATGTACATTCCCTTTGACTTAATAGTCATCTTCTGAAAATTTATCTGAAGAAAAAAACCCCTAAGGAAAAAATTCACCTTCTTTTACCAGCAAATCTTTAACATGGAATAATGCTACTGAATTTGTGAAGACTTAAATTTATAGCATTAGCCCTAACAAGGAAAGAAAGGAAGCAATGTAAAATATCCAGTCATTAGTTGGGATGATTAAGTAAATTATGCTACATATACAATGTGGTATATTACACATATCTTAAAATGATTATTATGGCCACTATGTAGCAACATGGAAAATGTTCATAAAGGCACATGAAAAACAACTAGATGCAGTTTTGTATCTAGGCTAAAATTTCAACCATGTCCAAAGATACACATGTATATGGAACCAGACTGCATGGGAGCTCAGGAAAATTAAAACAGTTGGTATATTATAGTCATGGGGTTGTGGTGATTTATTTTTATTTTTATTTACCTATGTCTATTTTGCAATAAACAAAAAATCGAAATGAAAACATGAACAGAAAGTCACAGAAATGAATTATATTCATTTATCTTTGTTGAAAACTGCCCATTTTTCTTCTTTGCCCTCAGCCACCTTTTCCTAGTTTAGGTGAGCAGCAAGTAACCAGAATTATCCAGCCTCCAGTGGAACATATCCAGTAAGACAAAATACTGCTTTATGCTCAGAGATTTATTCTATGATGATTGGCAAGAGAGAAAGTATGTACAGTGTCTGTGTGTTCATAGTCTGCGAGTTAATGGGAGTGAATGAAGAGGTCATCTGGTAGAATGTGCTGTGGCAAATTAAACTGTACATTATGAACATGAAATACCAAAAGAAAATCCAAAAGCCCAGCTGAAGCACCAGAAAACAAATCAGCTACAGACTGACAATATTCCACCCATATGCTCAGATATACCCATTACTACGGAGAACATCATTAAGGCCAAATTTTGCAGACCATAAAAAGTCAACAAACTACACCTTCACACAGAGATTCCTCAGACAGAGCTGCTGTTGAAATGAGTATGGTAAATGCAGAATGAATAGGAAAGTGTTTGATTTCTCTAGAACAGTGGTTCTCAACCTTCCTAATGCTGCAACCCTTTAATACAGTTCCTCATGTTGTGGTGATCCCCAATCATAAAATTATTTTCGTTGCTACTTCATAACTGTAATTTTGCTACTGTTATGAATCATAATGCAAATATCTGATATGCAGGATGTATTTTCATTGTTACAAATTGAACATAATTAAAGCATAGTGATTAATCACAAAAACAATATGTAATTATATATGTGTTTTCTGATGGTCTTAGGCCACCCCTGTGAAAGGGTCGTTCGACCCCCAAAGGGGCTGCGACCCACAGGTTGAAAAACGCTGCTCTAGAGTCACTCTTTTTTTAAAAAAAATACATTTTTTTAATTGATTTCAGAGAGGAAGGGAGAGGGAGAGAGAGATAGAAACATCAATGATGAGAGAGAATCATTGATCGGCTGCCTCCTGCACACCCCCAACTGGGGATCAAGCCTGCATCCGGGGCATAAGCCCTTGACTGGAATCGAACCTGGGACCCTTCAGTCCGCAGTCCGACGCTCTTTCCACTGAGCCAAACCAGCTAGGGCTAGAGTCACTCTTAATGGTGAACTTTAACACTGTAACCAGACAACCAGATCTATGCAAGTGGATATAAACTATTATTCCTTCCCTCCCTCCCTCCTTCATTCCCTTCTTACTATACTTCTTTCCCTCCTCCAACCCCCAACCTTTTCTTCCCTTTTTTTTAAAATATATTTTTATTGATTTCAGAGAGGAAGGGAGAGGGAGAGAGACATAGAAACATCAATGATGAGAGAGAATCATGGATCAGCTGCCTCCTGCACGCCCCCCACTGAGGATTGAGCCCGCAACCCTGGCATGTGCCCTGACTGGGAATTGAACCATGACCTCCTGGTTTGTAGGTAGATGCTTAACCATTTAACGACACTGGCTGGGCTCTTTTCTTCTTTTCCTAAGCAGTTCTAGTCACTTTAGCTAATATGTCTGGAATTCTTTATAATTTTACTATATTTTCTGTCAGTGTTTCTTCAATTCTTCTCCATTTCCTTTTTATTCTTACTCTTATGGTTCTTCAAAGGTCCTGTATCTTGCATATTCATAGACTTCTGCTTTTCCCACCTTTCATGCTTTGACTACTTCCATTAGCATGTTGATAAATGTATCATGATCTGTGTCTGTATAGAGTTGTTCTGGCATTTCAGCACCTTTTGGGTGTACGTGTACTTTTGATGACACCATAGTTCTGCTGTGGCTGGTTTGGTTTGCTTTCCAAGGAAATAGCTACATGTGATGGCTTGATTGAGTAGGGCACAAAAGCAATACATATGTTTGAAATGAAAGGCTGTCACTGGGAAGAGAGACTTAGATATTTCCTTTTTGGCTAGAAAAACCTCAACAAATCCCAGCAGGAGGTGGATTTGGACTCTGTAAAAGGAAACACCTTCTAATACAGCAGGTCAAAGACAAAATGGGGTATGTCCAGAACCAGCATATGTTGTGGTACAGTTTGTGCATTATACAAAGTCACCTGGCCAAGGAAATGAGTGGTAGCTGAAATGCAGCTGTGCTTTGCTCACCAATCCCTGTACTTTCCAGTGGGGCTATGTTAGCCTGGAGGGATGCTTTCAGTCTTCCACATAAAAGCTCTGTATGTGCTACGGGTAGCCTTAGGTATCCCAGGAGGGGAGTGACTTTTCTCCAGGTCACTTGTTACAGACCAAGGGAGAGAATGGCTCAACTTGTGCAGAGAAGCAGTGCTTACTTTTTCTTCATTATCTCCATATTTCCCAGGTGTGCTTTGATCTATTGTACTACTGAATAATCCCTTTTACTTAACAAGTCTGTGGCCAACTTGAATCTCCTCTCATAGATGCTAACAGCATTCACATTCAGACTCCCAACTTCTCGGAGATGGATAGGTGCCTCCACGTATAGTGCTGGGTTGAATTCTCATTTCGGAGAATGTGACTTCTCTCTTCTTTACAGTAGAGATCAGCACTCCATTCCTGCCCAGCACCTGTCTAGTGCTTTGTGAAGGCCACGGGAGATAATGCAAACTGAATGCACTTTGAAAAATGTGAAGAATTGTCGTTAATAATTAGGTAGTCACTGGCTTGGAGTTAGTCATAGTAAGGTCTTTATTGGCGACTAGTGCTGCTTGTTTCACCATCAAGAATTCCCTGACTGCTGCAGCTTGTCAACCTCCTTGCACTGTGGATAAACACAACACTCATTTGCTTCTCAGCATATGACATTTGGTAGTTTAGCCACCCTTTCATGCCTACCTTTTGTTTTCCTCAAATAGACTGCAAACTCCTGGATCTGAGTGCTATGCCCTTCACCTTATTGGAACTCCCAATAAGACATAATAGACATACTGTTCGAATTAAATTGAATTGATTCTTCCTTCTAACTTCCCTCCCTCCCTAACTTTAATAGGTACTATTTGTTGACCATCTATTATGTTTCGGTCTTTGTTCTAATCAGCAAAACAGACAAAAGTCTCTGCCTTCATGGAGCTTTCTATTCTTGCCCAAATCTGCCTTTAATTAGCTGTGTGACCTCAACCAAATCGTTTCTCTCTCTGGGACTAAGGATGTCCTCCTGTGTACACTGAAGGTTTTACAAACATTCCCATCTTTCTTTCCTATTATTTTTTTCTTCAACCATCTTCTCCACCTTTAATTGCTTTCTTTGTTATGTGTCTGTTGTCTCACATTCAAAATATTGAGTGCTGTAAGGAAAACAAGGATGCCCCTTTTTAAAATAACTCATCTTTGGGTATTTCACAGCAATGTTTTTTACTTAAATCATTCTTTTTTTTTTTTTCATCATAGATTTGTTCAGCCCAAAGACAATGCATGTTTTATTTCCACCTTGAGTACCCAGCTCACAATGAGCTGTTACTCAGTTTTTGAAGTATTACTTTAGATTTTCTCCCATTACAGCATCAACCTTCTTTTGTTTATTTCCTTTAGTCCTCTGTCCTGAAAGAAGCTCCCAGGGTTACAGCTTTGGATTCTTGAGCTGCAGGAGATTGCCTGCTTAACCACGATAAATCCTCAGGAGAAAATTGGCTATTTTTCTTCTGTAATTTTATTTGTTTAAATCTTGATTGCTTATAGTAAATACACTCTCAAAGATAATTTAATTTCCAAATAATTTGGTATCTGATTTGCTGCAACTTGAGTGTTTTGGGGATTTTGGGGATATTGTTTTTCTTTTGTAATGAGTTTCCCACAATAGCTTTGTTCAGTGTTACATCCCTTTGCCTGGCTACCAGAAGGGTTGTGGTTAGTTTACTAATAGTAATTAGCTCTCAAGAAACTTCTTTGTTGGCAGTAGCATTTGGTCTTTACTGAAAAAATTCAGTTTTTTAAAAGAATGTGATTAATTTTTAAAGTATTACGGAAATACAGAAAATTTAATCCTGTATGATTTTTATAATGTGTGCAGTGAAGTGATCATTTTCATATTATTTAATTTTTAGTTTCGAAATATTAAGGTGTTACAGAAAAACCGGACCAGAACCAAACAGCGCTCTGAAAGTTTGGAGTTACACTTTATTCACCGCGACGGGCTTAGGGAAATGCATCCAAAATCTAAGCAAAACTACAAGTAGAACTTCCCTTTTTATAGAAGAGCCAGCCCTTTGTGTGCTTGCTGGTAGCGGCCTTGAAAACTATACAGTTCTATCCAATTTAAAAATGCACCTGGCATGGCATTGGGTGTATCTAGTCTCTGGCCTACAAGGTCAGATAGCTAAGTTTATCTCCCCCACTATTCAAGCAGACTAGAAAGCAAAGTTACTTTTTCAGAATAAGAGGCCGTCCAAAGAATAGCAGAGAATTTCAAAGGGCGATTGCCCTGAAGAAGGGCGATGTCCAAGGGGTTAACATCCCATTTCTTCCTCTTGGAGAGGTTTGTAGGGAATTCTTCTGGCTTGTAGGACCATTTGAAGTTTAAAGGCATCCAAATGGGATGAGATAAAGCGAGTTAACAGAATTAGAAGACATGGTCCTAGGATTATGGCCATGAGTAGCATTAACAGTTGTCCTGTCAATGGAAGGAGCTATTTCCAGATCCCCCCCACGTCCCCCATGCAGCCCAGGTCTCAGATAACTCCTGTTTTATTCATCTTGTTTCTTTTTTATGTAGGAAGCAGTAATTTTATGGTGCTTCTGTATTCCAGCAAGGGCAGAAGAGTTCTCCTCCTGGGACTAGCCTCGGGTTCCGTGGCACTCATAAAAAGGCAAAATGAGAATTACTAGAAAGATAAAAACAATGATTATCCAGAAATACCAGAGCATTTTGCCTTTAAGAGAAGATAAGAAACAAAGTGTAAGGAAGAATTCAGCAGGGTATTCTCTGAATCCTTTGGAGCAGGTTGATTGGCCAGGTCCGTTGTCTTCTTGAGGGTGATCTGCAGTGGGTGTGTCTGGTCAGAGATCACCTTCCAGTCAGGCTCCTTGCTGTCCTGGGCACAGAAGGAGCTGGGCTTGTGACCTGGCAGAGACAAACTATAACAAATGGTCCAGTGGAAGGTAAAGAAAACATTTCAGTTTTAACAACCTCTATTGAAATAGGAC